ACACACACACACACACACACACACACATATATATATGTATATATAAAAGGCCAAAAAATTAATTTACTAAAATATATTTTCTACCTATTTTTTTCCATATTTAGTTTATTTTTGAAAATATATTTAAAAAATCTAAATATATATATTTATAAGAATTTGAACATATTTTGCCCTCCATATATTTCAATCCAAGAAAATACATTCAATCAGGGTTATTATATTTAACTTTAACTAAAACTAAAACTTTTTTGTTACTTGAAATAAAATAAATGTTAACTGAAATGTAATACAATAATAAAAAAAAACTTAAACTTATTATTTTGCTAGTTTCCAAGGCAACCTTCCTCGTTTTTATTAAGTTTATCTTAAAATACTAAAATAACTCAAACTGAAATAAAAATGATAACTTATACAGTTATAAAACTTATAAACCATACATATTAAAAACAATTGGGGAAAAAACTAAAATTAACATGAAAGTGGAAAATATAAAATAAAATCTAATTCAAAATATTAACAAAAATATAACATTATCTCGATACTAAAATAACAGAACATTTCACATTTGTCTATAACACATGTGAACATATAACACAAATGTAGGCTCCTGTAAGACTGCAAATGCATTTTCTTGTAACATTTTGTAACATTTAAGAAAAACTGTAAACTTAAGCTGAGTTTTAATAAATCACAGCCTGTTTTCTGACAGCCTACTCAATATCAGAGATGGGCCAGGGTTACCCGAAGCTCACAATACATTATTCTCTTCAAACAAAAGTGTTGTCCTGAGCTCCCTGTGCTTCAGAGACCGCTGATATCTTTAATCATGTATTAGCTGCAGGACCATCAGCTGATGCTGGGGACAACAGCGAGGGTCACACTGAATAATGAGTGCGTGTGGGAGGAAGCTGCCAATAATGACTGAAAGAGTCGAAGGTGTGATACCTGCTGCTATGCCACACAAAGACGGTCCATCACAAACACTCAGAGAGCAGCAGTCTGTCCGGTCTGCATGAGAATCAGCAGAGGAAGGCATCTATCATATGCACCATGTCTTTAACGATGCGAGGCTTTGGCAGTTTGTAGGTTGAGTTTCCTCAGTGCCTCTATCAGTGTCACACAGGACCGATGGCAACATTATTTTATTAATTTTACATGCATTTGAACAGCACTTTTAATCATATTAAAGGTCACATAAATGATAGTTATCTACGCAGTGCAAATTAAGAAAACAACAACACATGCACTG